AAATGGACCAGAGATGCTGCATAGGTGAAATGGACCAGAGATGCTGCCTAGGTGAAATGGACCAGAGGTGCTGCTGAGGTGAAATGGACCAGAGATGCTGCAGAGATGATATGGACCAGAGATGCTTCAGAAGTGGTATAGTCGGGCCTTGGCAACATCCTGGTTGCCCCCCTTGAACCTCCTTCGGCTTGTCGACTTCCATGGCCTGACCAGGGCAGGGGATAGACATTGTCTTTTCCTTGTTCCTCGTTCTTAATGTGGCCCAACTCCATGTCCCATGATTCACTCATCTTGGATCAGCCTGTCCTCTGAAAGCTTATCTCATCTTCAGGCAAATGCTGCCTGGCCAGACCTCTCTTGCCTTGGACTGGGGATAGTGGTTTTTTGAACCCAAGTGTAAACCTTTTCATTTGCCCCTATTCAAATCTGTCTTACTCAGTTTAACCCAGTGGTTCTCAAACTTTTTGGTCTCAACAATTATTGAGGACCCCCAAAAGCTTTTGTTTGTGGGGCTTACATCTGCTGACATTTACCCTAATAGCAATTAAAATGGATAAATTTTAAGAACATTAATCTATTAAAAAATAAAAATAAACCCACTCTATGTTAGTGTAAATAACATTTAAAAAATAACTATATATCCCAAACAAAAGATGAGTGAGAAAAATAGCATTGATTTTATATATTTTTGCAAATCTTTTAAATAACAGAAGATAGCTGGATTTTCCTATCTGCTTCTGCATTCAATCTGTTGCAATATATTGTTTTGGTTACTAAATAAGAAGAAAACCCTTCCTTAGACATGCAGGTAGAACAGGAAGGAGTATTTTAATAGGCAAATGAGGTCTTAGTATTAGTATGAAATTCTTTTTGACTCGGAGGACCCCCTTTTAGGATCTTGGGGACCCCTGTGTATGTACCAGTATCCTCGCCCATTATTATTCTCTTGGATTCTGCTCTTCCTCCCATCTGGGGTTATTTGCCTATATGATGAGTATACCAATTATGCCTTTATTCATATCATTGATAAGCATGCTCAGTAGCCTTAGGGCCCAGCATAGATCCCCAAGGCACTCCCTTGGAGACCTCCTGACACTGAATCAGTCATTTAGCCACTTTCCAAGGTGTTTGTCTCCTCACTTAGCCCACATCTCCTCATCTTTTCCACAAGAGCAGCATGAGAGATTTTATCGAATGCTTGGCTCTAATGGAAGTAACCATAACTCCATCTTTGCTCTCTTCTCCCAGTTTAGTGACCCTGACCCAAAATGAAGTGTGACAAGTTTGGCAGGATTGATCCTTTCCTCCCGTTATAAATTTCCAAACATGTCGAGATTCGAGAACAGTGAGGAGGGTTGCATAAGAAACCATGAGCTTTTGTGACACATCTCTGCTAAGCTAACATGGGAATAAGAACATGTGTGTCCTGGCCTTCTTTCTGTGCATTAAAAATGTTTTATTGCTGCTTTTTTCCCTCCCCCAAGGGAAGCCCTTCTTTGTTACAAAAGATCAATTAAGCAGAACAAACCAACCTCTTGGTGAGGCTTAAGGATGCACCTGTTATCTGTCCCCTCTCTTTGAAGGGTTAGAAGGTATGGGCAAGCTTTAGGCTTGGGGAGCTATGAGGGGCCATGCTTTGGTCCCAGTTGTGTCTTTCCGGTTGTTTCTACTTGCATGGCTGCTGTGGTCACTGCCTCAGTTGACCCCCTGGTTCTTCTTATAACACTGCCCCAATTCATGCAAGTGTTTCCTTATTTTTTCAAGCCTCTTATGTGACTCATTTCTTTTTTTGTGTGTGTGTGTGTGTGAGGCAACTGGGGTTAAGTGACTTGCCCAGAGTCACACAGTTAGTGTTATGTCATGTCTGAGTCCAGATTTGAACTCAGGTCCTCCTGACTCCAGGGTCAGTGCTCTGTCCACTGTGCCACCTAGCTGCCCTGATTGATTTCTTATGGTGCAATAATACTCCCATTTTATCCACATCCCATTCTCTTTTTGGCCATCCACTTATTGATGGGTATTTGTTTGGTTTCCAGTGGTTTGCTTTAACAAAAAGATCTGCTTTCAGTTATCAGTGTTGATATGGGTCCTTTCCTGTGCAGCCTTGCCCATTTTAGGGACTTGAAGACCTTAAGGTTCCAGATTGATTTTCAGAATGGCCGGACCAGTTCTCACTTTCAACTATAGGGCATCACTGTGCCCTTGTCCTCCCATGGCCCCTCCATTAATGGCTGATTGTCATGCTAGTGTCTGCCAATCTCAGGGTTGTTAATTGTTATTATTTGCATTTCTCTCAGGCTTCCATGTAGTTGGTGGAGAGCTTGTATCCCTTCTTTTGAGAGTTACCTATTCACACCCAGCTGCATTACTTCATTCAGCAGTTTCCATTCTCCTACAATAGAGAACTTATGAAATACTTATATTTCATTTTTTTTCCAGACTCACAGTCTCAGTCTAAGACCAAGGAGGCAACTTCAAAGCAGGGCACTCCTGAAAAAGCATCCCAGAAGGTGACAGTAGAAAGACTCCGAAGGTGCAGTCTTTGGTGCTCCATTTTGAAGGAAACAGCGGAATGTGAGAATCCAATAAAGAAGCAACTGGGGAACCAGAAAAGACACGTGAAGCAAGTCTGGAAACATCAACAGATTCATACAGGAGAGAAAACTCATAAGTGTAATGAATGTGGGAAAATGTACAAGAAGCATGCAAACCTTATTATTCATCATAGAATTCACAAATATGAATGTAAAGAATGGGGGAATGCCTTTAGTGGTCATTCAAATCTTATTAAACATCAGAGAACTCATGATAGAGAGAAGCCTTATCAATGTAATGAATGTGGGAAAGCCTTCCATCACCACTCACACCTGGTGAAACACCAGAGGATTCACACTGGAGAGAAACCTTATCAGTGTAATGAATGTGGGAAAACCTTCAGTCAGTGCTCCAGCCTTATTCAACATCAAAGAATTCATACTGGAGAGAAGCCTTATAAATGTGATGAATGTAGTAAAGAATTCAGTCATCGCTCACACCTTATTAATCACCAGAGAATTCACACTGGAGAGAAACCTTATAAGTGTAGTGAATGTGGGAAAGGGTTCAGTCAATGCTCTAGTTTTATTAAACATCAGAGGATTCATACTGGAGAGAAACCTTATAAATGTAACATATGTCAGAAAGAGTTCAGTCATCATTCACATCTTACTAATCACCAAAGGATTCACACTGGAGAGAAGCCCTATAAATGTAATGAATGTGGGAAAGTCTTCAGTCATAGCTCACACCTTATTGTACACCAGAGGATTCACACTGGCGAGAAACCTTACAAATGTAATGAGTGTGGGAAAGCCTTCAGTCATAGTTCAAACCTTATTGCACATCAGAGGATTCACACTGGCGAGAAACCTTATGAGTGTAATGAATGTGGGAATGCCTTTAGTCATCGCTCAAACCTTATTAAACATCAAAGGATTCATGGAGAGAAATCTTATCAATGTAATGAGTGGGAAAGCCTGCAGTAACCACTGAGATCTTATTGTACATCCAAGTAGTTGTACTTGTGAGAAACCATGAAAATGAAGATGGAAAAAGCTTTCATCATTGTTTATATCTCATTGCAAAGACATCATGTAGAAAAGAGAGTGCTGGGCTTCCAATCAAGAATACCTGGGGTTGAATCTCACCGTAGACATTTATTAGCGGCGTGACTGGACAAGTTACTGAGCTTCAGTTTTTTCATCTATAAAATGAGAATAATTATAACACCTCACAAGGGTTGTTTTGAGAGCCAAGTGAGGCCACATGTATAAAATGAACATTTAAAACATTTTGTGATGATTCTTATTCACAGTAGACACCAGAGGATTGACATAGGAGAAATTTTCTATTAACATAACATGTGAGAAAACCTTCACTTAGGCAGAATTTCCAAACTCTGGGGCAAAAGACCCTTTCTGGGGAAGAACAAATCAGTGGCCAAAATGTTTAGCTATACAAGTCCCACATAAATAATCTACTTTCTTCCATGAAAACAGCATGGCATACATAGAGTATAGAGAACTGGCCTTGGCACCAGAAAGACACAGGTTGAAGCCCCACTTCTGACACAGACTGGCTGTGGTACCCTGGACAAGTCACTTCCCCGAGATGATAAGTTACACAGAAGATGCTGGCAGGCCTTGGAGAGGGAATTCCTCCTTGGGAGCTCCTATGCCAATGACATCACTGTTCTGTCCCTACCCCCTGTTCCATGAAGACAAAATATGAATAGTCAGGGAAAGTGAGATCCAATGGAGTACAATCATTCGAGGTCACACATCAGTGCTTTGTGTTGGATTTTGAGGCATCATTGCCAACCATTGGTCAAAGTGTGACAGATGAGGTGTCTCTTTGGGTCACTGTGCATCTGCTCCCTGCATTCAAAGTGAAGCATGTAAACTTGAAATGATACAGCCTTTGTGTGGAAGGTCAAGACAGCATAATACATGCTATATTTCTCAACATTTATTTGGGCAAGTACAGTGTAGTCTTGTTAAAAAAAAAACACCCTGAAACTTAAAAGAAATCATTATAGACTCTTGTGTGAAATTTTCAGTAATTAAATTCAAATTGAACTATCTTAAATTTTTTCTCAAATTTTGAAAAATGAAACAATCTCCTTCCTTGAGACATAAATGCTTAGCCAGTTTTAAGAGAAAGTCCACTAGAGCAGTTAAAACTAGTTCAAATGAAAAATGCAGAGCCATTTTAAGTACCATAAATGGAGAAACACAAAGGGAAAAACCTAAATGTGAAGATTATATTTATCACTGGAATTCATAAGTGTAAATACTCTGAGTAGCCAGAGAAGGCCCCACTCTCCCAGGCCTGTTTCCTGTTATGCAGCTCTGGGACATTTAAGATTTCATTGCACCCAGTTTTAGTGAGAATTAACTGAAACTCCCTTGAAATCTTTTGGATGCAGCCTACCTTTAATTCCGCCTTCCATGTCATTAGTAGGTCTTCAAGGGAAGCCTCAGGTATCTTTCTCCAACCAACTTTGCTGTTCCTCTGGCTGTATTAACAAGCCATGTTGACCCATTCTAATGGTGTTGTATGCCATCAACCTGAACTGCACTCTAAATTTACATGACCTGTTGTTGATGGAAAGCTTACTGTTCGTACAAGTGATTTAGCTGCAGATGGCATGAAACTTCAAACAGACTTTCTGAGAGTTTCCACACAGAATTTCTTGGCAAAACAAGATAATTTTCCCCAATGAGATCACATGCTCTTAATAAACAAAACCAGATTCTTTCAGAAACCTTGCCTGTGACACCAAAGTAGTGCCTGAATCCTTAGGTTCCTTAAGGAATTGCTAAGTGTCAGGAGCTTCATTCAATAAAGGATTGGTTGCTGCCTGTAGTGACTGATAAGGTCTAAATGTGCTCAGTGAATCATGCAGAGAGAGACCCAATGCTCCCACTTGGAGATAGTTCTGTGGAGAGCAGAATTGCACTTATGTCTGAAGATCCTTGTGATCTATTAATTCAGAAATCAGAATCTTCCCATTCTACCTTACAGGTGGCCAAAGCAGCAGATGTAAATAGACTGTAATGATTTGACTGTAACGATATAATATATTGCTGACTGATCAAGTCCAGTCGGCAAGTCAGCTTGCACTTATTTATACCAGTTACCACTCTAAACACTGGGAATCCAAATACGGAAAAGAAGACAGACCCTCCCCTTAAGAAACTTACATTTGAATGTAGGAAGCAAACATATAACAGAGCTGGAAAGGAGGGATGGTGGTGAAAATACCAGGCAAGGGGGCTTAGGAGAAGAGTCCTGTGCAGATGAGTCAGGAGTGCCTTCTAGAGAGGAATGAGGACATGGCAGGCCCAGGCCTTCTTAAAATGGAGGTACTTAGAAGAGCCAGACAATCAGAGGGAGAGGCCACAGGACAGAGGGCACTTCCAGGATGAGAAACAGTCCAGTGGAGGGAGCTTCCAGCATGAAGATGTTTCTATGACCCGGAAGAGGAAGTCCTGAGAAGATGAGTCAGGCGTGTGGTTTGGAAAGAAATGGTGTTAGAGAAGATTGGTTAGTTTTTAGACTTATTGGTGGCAACATCCCAGCCAGGGGATATGTCAACCTAACAGATTATTTTAAAGAAAACTATTTAACACAGAGTTTGATGGGCTCTGCTCCAGTGGGGCTTAATCAGTGAAATACAGGCCTCTTGAGCATTAGTGATAAATGTAGTTGGTTTCTCATACTATTTGCTCAAATTGCATGCATCAGAGTTACTCATATCAAAGAATATGAGTGAATTACTTATACAGCTTTTCAAGTTACACAAGGGCAATCAGCTTTATTTAAGAATCAGCTTGCCTTTTGGGGCAGCTAGGTGGTGCAGTGGATAGAGCTCTGGCCTTGGAGTCAGGAGGACCTGAGTTCAAATCCAACCTCAGACACTTGACACTTACCAGCTGTGTGACCCTGGGCAAGTCACTTAATCCCAGCTGCCTCACCAGAAAGCAAAAAACAAAAAATCAGCTTGACTTTTCCCCTAAAAAGCCATGAGAAAGAAGTCCCTTTGCAAAATCTTGTAATGCTTTTGGTGAGAGGGTAGGGTACCTTCAGTTTGGGGGGGTGAAACATGCTATTTACTGACACCAAAGTACTTCTAAGGGTATTTGAGCTAAAATAAGAAATTTCCATTTTTCTTTGTGATAGTAATGACATAAATCTGTCTTATAATGCAAATTTCCTCCTGAGATTTGCAGATGTGGCAGATATTTGTAAGAAACTCAGTACTCTAAAAAAATGCCAGGACCTCAAATTCATGCTCTGATAAAAATAAAGTAACCAAATTCATGAAAAAGTTAAGAATTATAGATAATAGACATACAAAATAATATCCTTGTTGTTTCCCAATTTGAAAAAAGCCAACCCTGAAAATGAAATAAAAGTAGAGACCATTGGCCAGTCTACAGAAGCAACTCACATTTTATTTTGAAAGCCTAGATTTAAAAAATGTGGGTGGGTAAAGAACTCCTTTTCCCAGTACAAGTATGATACATGTGGCTCTACTGCTAAATTAGAATGGTTAATAGATGTCTCTCATGATAAATCAATTCAGTTCATTAAATGTTTTCTAAGCAGCTAGGTGGTACAATGGATAGAGTGGAGGGCCTGGAGGCAGAAGGACTCCTCTTCCTGAGTTCAAATGTGGTCTGAGACACTTACTAGCTGTGTGACCCTGGGCAAGTCATTTAACCCTGTTTGTCTTAGTTCCTCATCTGTAAAATGAGCTGGAGAAGGAAATGGCAAACCACTCCAGTATCTCTGCCAAGAAAACCCCAAATGAGGTCACAAAGAGTCAGACGTGATTGAAAAATGACCAAACAAAAAAAGCACCTATGTGCCAGGCACTGTACTAAACACTGGGGATACAAATAAGAAAAAGAAAACCAGTCTCTGTCTTCAAGAAGCTTACAATCTAATGTGGGAAGAGAACATAAAAGGGAGCTGGAAAGAGGGGAGCTGGAGAAGGGAGATACTGGGGGCACCTGGTATTGTGGGCATCACATTCTGTGGAGTTCAAACCAAGCAGACAGTCAGCTGGAAAATCCAGATCCCTCCCCCCTCTAAAAGAAAACATTGGGAAGAGTTTAGAGGTGCTTGTACTGAGAGCATATTGAAACAAGATTTGAATCTGAAAAGCTTACTCTGCTCTGGCTAGATATATACAGAGTCACTGGGTTGAAATAGAGTTCTTAGGTTTATCAAAAAAAAGTACATTTTAATAACATTCATACCAACTTATTTGTGTGAAATAGGATTTCCTGCCTTTATAAAGACAAATATTGATCTTGATTATTGGTTGAAAATATATTAAGAGAAACTTTGTACAACCCACCATCATAATATTATTAAGGCTATTTTATGTTAGACATATGAAAATGGTAAAGGATTAAATCAATATCTGCTTTTACTTTGTTTAAGATGAATCCATTATAAACATTTTAAAATAAATTCTTAATTAAATAAAATTTGAGTTACCAAATTTGAGTTTGTTTTATAAAAAAGTAAGGCGGGGGCATGGTAGTTTTTAAAAAAATAAAATGAGGGCTTGAGACATGATCACCAACATGAAGGAGTAGACAGTTTCTCCAAACCTTATGACTTCTCAGACCTCTTCAAAATGGGAATTATGTGCAAGAGCTAAAGTAATTTCAGTGTTTCCATTCTCCAGGACATCAAGAACTCAGTGAATCAAAACGGGTTCAACCAGAGCACTGAGGAATAGAGGGAAGTGGGCAGGGCTCTGTGTGTGTGTGTCTCCATTCAGCCTGAGAGAGAGAGCTCAGCATCCCACTGGGGCCAGAACTGTACCCCCCAGAAGTCACTGAAGGCAGAGATCAAGGCTGATGGAAGGAGGCCATTGATATTAGAAGAAAGTTCCTACATACACCAAAACCTTTATAGCCACACTTTTTGTTATAGCAAAACAAAACAAAACAAAACAAAACAAAACAAAACTGGATACAAAGTTGATGCCCATCAGTTGGGGAATGTCTAAACAAAGTGTGGTCCATGAATGTAATGGAATATGACTATGCTTTAAGAAATGATATACATGATGAATACAGAGAAGCCTGGGAAGATGGACATTAATTGATACAGAGTTCAAGTCTGCAGAGCCAAGAAAATGACTCACACAATGACAACAACCATGTCAATGGAAGAACTATGACCATAAAAATCGAAAGTGAATGCTTAAAAATTATAAAGAAGAGTGGCTTGAAAGGAGAGCTTTGAGAGGACACCCCTAACACACCCCTTTGAGGAGGTCAGAGGTCAGAGGTTCACAGGGATTCCATGTTGTACACACTTTCTGACTTTTTTAAAGTATTGGTCAATTATGCTGATTTTTTTCTCTTTTGTCATTAAAAACACTATTTGTTAAGTGGGATGGCTCTCTGGGAGAGAGAGGGAGAGGAATACTGGAGGACACTAGGTGATGTAAAAAAATAGATGTCAATGAAAACATTTAAAAAAGAAGGAGCCTCCAGTCAGTCAACCAGCATTGTTTAAATGCTTTCTGTGTACCAGGCACTCCAGGAAGAATTAAGGATACAAAGAAAGGCAAAAGGAGCTCAGTTTAATGAGCAAAACAACATGCAAACAATTACACACAAACAAGGCATGCTAGACTGGATCAATTGGGAATAATCTCAGAGCAGAGTGTGCTTGTGGCTGGGTGAGGTAGGAAGAAGGCTTCCTGCAGAAGGTAGGACTTCCTTAGGGGGAAAGCCTGGAGGACAGCCAGAGAGGATTCTGGGAGCCAAGATAAGGAGGGTCTTGTTCATGGATCACCCAGGAGGCCAGAGTCACTGGGTTGAAGGGTATGTACCTGGAAAAAGGTGTAAGAAGACTGGAAAGGGAGGAAGGGGCTAGGGGATAAAGGGCTTAGAGAGCATTTCGTATCTGATCCTGGAGGCCATAGGCAGCCACTGGAATTTACTGAGTTTGCAGTGACATGGTTAGACCTGTGTTTTAGGAAAGTCACTTTGGAGGCTGAGTGGAGGATGGACTGGAGTGGGGAGAGACTGAGGCAGGCAAACCCCTCAGCAGCTGTAGTGATAGTCCAGGTGTGAGGGGATGAGGGCCTGTAAGGGGTGGGGTGGCCATGTTAGATGAGGGAAGAAAGGTTTTAGGGAGATAGTGCAAAGGTGAAATGGACCAGAGATGCTACAGAGGTGAAATGGACCAAAGATGCAGCAGAAGTGAAACGGACCAGAGATGCAGCAGAGGTGAAATAGACCAGAGATGAAATCAACAGGCCTTGGTACCATATTGGATCTGGGGGTGAGAGATTTCCAGGTTGTGAGGAGTCCAGGATGACTCTTAGGGTGGGGGCCTGAGGGACTGGAGGATTGTGGTACCATGGACAGCAACAGAGAAGTTGTGAAATGGGAAGAGTCCATAATCATCTCTCTTTTGGAAAGTTTGAGTTTGAGATGCCAACAGAACATCAAAACAAAATCTCTAATAGTCAGTTGGTGATGTTGGCCTAGAGCTTAAAGAGAGATGGGTGTTGGGTACATAGGCCAGAACAGAGAATCATCTGCCTAGAGATGATAAATGAAACCATGGGAGCTGATGAGATCACAAGAGAATATAGAGAACAGAGGAAGGGACCATAGCCTTGGGGGACACCTACTGTTAGTGGGCATGACCTGAATGAAGAATCAGCAAAAGAGACAGAGGAAGAGCAGACAGGCACTATTGTAGATGAAGTTCTCAAAGAACTTATCCATGAAAGGAGGAGAATTATGGAAGAAAAGTTACTGAGGATGGATGGATAAAGGTTTTTGGGCATGTTTGTTAAGGAGAAGGACCGTCTCTCTTCACGTGAGAGATTGTGGCAGAAGGCTGCCAAGTGTGTAGAGAGAAGGAGAGGGCACAAGTCTCAGAATGGCTTCAGTCTTCTGGTAAAGTAGGAGGCAAGGTTCTCAGCTGAGATTTCAGGATTTGAGGAGGGATAAAGCTGTGGCTTATGAGTTAGTGAAATGATGAGGCTTATTGTCTTGCTGTGAACACGTAACAAACTGGTAGAAGACCCAGGCCACGTGGTGTGGGGACAGCAAGGAGCTGCCACATCCTCGACTCGTGTTGTCTCTCAAGGGTCCTCTGCTCCCATTTTGGGGAGACCCTGAGCCCAAGCTGGAGCGATTCTCCCTAGGACTCTGGGGTGGTGGCACAAGGAACCAGGAAGCATCACTGCTAGATTCTGCATGTCATGTTCTAGACATGTCATCTCTCCTCTTTATCTTCATACCCCTAGTGCCCAGGACAGTCACTGGCATGCCATGGGTGTTTAATCAATACTTGTTGAATGACGGTGAAATGGGGTCTTTCCAATGGTGATTTGCCATGTAAAAAGGCTGCAGAGGCCGCTTCCTCTTCTGGAGTCATAATGATGGATAAGGGAAGCGTTTTGGAGAAAACCTGGGCCATGTGTAGACATTCTGTAACTGGCTGCGGTCAGCTAACCTCTGGGTGATGATGAAGCTTGGGCTGCAGAGGCCTGTCAGCTCAGTACATTCCCTCTTTGCCTGCATGCTCTTGGGGAAGCCCAATGACTCCTCTGCCTCCTAGTGATAGGTGAAGGCAGTGCAGCCTCCAGTCGTGTGAGTTCAGAAGGTCTAGAGGGTGTCTTGGCATCCTGGGGTGATCAGAAGAGGAGAGACTTTTCACAGTGGGCTTCTGGAGTGGCTCAGTGGTAACCAAGACAAGGACTTGCCCGGTAGTAGGTCGGTCAATGGGCATTTGTCAAGCTCTTACTATGTGCCAAGGACTGTGCTAAGCTGGGGGATACAAAGAGAGGCAAGACTACTGTCTGACGGGGAAGAGAATGGGCCAACAAATATATTCAAAGCGAGCTCTCGACAGGCTGAATAGGAAATAGTTAGCAGGAGGAAGGCCTGAGGATTAAGAGAGTTGGCAAAGGCTTTCTGTAGAAAGTGGGATTTGAACTGGGACAGCCAAGGAGAGATGAATGAAAGTCCAATCCCCATAGCGGACGGGAGGGGATAGGCTTTGGGGCACACGTGGAGCTGGCAAGGAGAGGACCAGTCTTCCTTGGAGATGGGAGCGAAGGACATGATGGCAGCAGCTGGGGGGACGTGAAGTGTGGCGTTGGAGAGGAGAAGGAGGGAGGCAGTGTGCATTGCATGTCCTCGATTGTTGAATGAAATAGGTCCTGGGTACAGGGCGATGCGAGGCCTAGGGGCCTTGAGAAGAGACCAGAGGTTTGGCGCTGTGGGACAGACAGGGTAGGAGGACCCTATTTTCGGTGGGCTCAGTGGTGGGATGTCCCCTGTTTGTGTCCAGACTAGAGAAGGCCGACCTGAGGTTGGGGTGGGGCGGAAGTAATGCAGGGATGCCAAGAGATAATTACTGAACAGACTGGAGCTGATGGGGTCACAAAGAGAGCGGAGAAGGGCAAGACCCAAGACGGCCCTAGGAACCCTTGCAGTCAGGGGGCAGCGGAGACAGCGGGATGGCCTTAGCCTGGGTCTGGCCATCCCCCACAAGTGCTCCTTCCTGGCAACCCTTAAAACCCGTCATGCTCAGTGTGATCTCCCCTCCCCCCACCCCAGGCCTCTCCCAGGCCATCGCCCCTGCATTAGCTTCACTGGAGACAGAAATCCAAGCCAGCCAGACCCAAGCCTGGCCTAAGGGGAACTGGGAGGTGGGGGAGGGGAGCCCGGGCCACCCCACCTCCCTCGGTGCCTCCCTCCCAGGACTCTTTGTTTTTGCCAGGGGCTCCTCCCCAGGCCTTCCCTCCCCATCGCTTTGTATAGAGTCCTTTGGCTAGAGGGGGCAGAGCCTACAAGCATCTGTGGCCCTTTGAGGACAGGGGCAGGTGGGCCAGAGTCAGGGAGGGATGGGAGCGGGGCCGGAGGAGGTTCACAAAAGAGGATGTGAGTGCCCAGGCTGGGGCCAGGACAAGGTGAAGATCCAGGGCCTGGAGAGGCAGGATTTCTTAGCTGTGGGTGCCTGCTGAGAGCCCCAGCCTGGAGGATCCCTGAACACTCAGCCCTAAGGGCGAAGAGAGAGAGAGAGAGAGAGAGAGAGAGAGAGAGGGAGAGAGCGCGCCAGAGAGACAGAGACAGAGGACGGAGAGAGCCTGGGAGAGCTCTAAGCACTTTAGCTTTCTTACTAGACGCACCGCAAGCCTTTCTCCCCACTGACGAGCGGGGTCCCGAGAGGTGGGGGAGGGGGATCTACTCTCTCCGAACCGTCGGCAGAGGCCTTTGATCCGCTTTGCTCAGGCCTCCCGGGCCTCTCCCACGTTTTCTTCTGCGGACGCGTCGCTGCAGCGTCCCCGTTCCAGCCCCTGAGCCACCGGGGCCCTTTAATCAGACCCTCGGGGTCTCCCAGCATCCCGAGGTCGTCCTACGCCCCAAACACGCTCGTCTTCTCGCTCCATCAGGCCGCCACTTTCGGGGGCGGGAGGGTTGTCCCCCGGGGGCCGCTTCAGGGACACCCACGGAGAAGCCAGAGAGCCGCGCCCGCCCACCCGGTCAGCACCCACGCCCTTTGCCAGCCCCCCTCTAAGCGCTCAGCCCCAGGGAGAGCTTGGGGGGCACAAGCGGGCGGGATCTGGGGCTCGCGACACGCT